ATTTTTTGTATATATGATTTTTGACAATATATCAAAAATAAAAAATTTTTAAGTTGGTATTTATGACATTGAGGCTTATTTGTAGCTATTCAATTTTTGTTTACAAATTCAATTGTTTTTTTTTTAAGAAACTTTTTTCAAAATTTATTTCAGAGAAACATTTTATTAGAATAGGACATTTTTGTATTAATATTTTTTGTAATAAGATATTAGCAGCAGTTTTATATAAAAAAACTAATTTTATTTGGTGAGTTAACAAAAAAAAAATTATTTCTAGTTCAACTTTGTAAGATATTTTGTATTTTTTAGAAGCTCTTGATAATAATTGTAATCACAATTGAAAGCTCGAGTAAAAAATAGTCAACAAATAGCCCCTTTTATTGACTCCAACCCATCCAAAACAGTTTTATATTTCTTTCCAAACGAGTCACAAGTACTTCTTTTTTCTTATATATATATATATATATATATATATATATATATATATATATATATATTATATATATATATATATATAATATATATTATATATATATATATATAACAGACAGTTGAAGGTAACCGGGAACGACCCAATACTAAGGAAGCAATAAAAAACGGGTGCTTCAGAGTGAGTGTCTTTTATTAAAATCAAACTTTCGCACATAATTTTGGGCTTCATCAGAACTGCTGTAATGGAAAATCATTCTTTACAATCACCATAATTAAAGATGTTATTTTTAATATTACCTTAACGTTGACACTATTTTCTTAGTGTAAATTATTGTAAGATGTGGAACTACACATTGTTTTCCAAACACAAACCACATCTACAATAATTTACACTAAGAAATAGTGTCAACGTTAAGGTAATATTAAAAATAACATCTTTAATTATGGTGATTGTAAAGAATGTTTTTCCATTACAGCAAGTTCTGATGAAGCCCAAAATTATGTGGCGAAAGCTTGACTTTTAATAAAAGACACTCACTCTGAAGCACCCGTTTTTTATTGCTTCCTTAGTCTTGGGTCGTTCCCGGTTACCTTCAACTGTTTACCAGTAGCCCGTTACTGTCCTAGACTTATCAACTATTGACAAAAATAAGGATGTATAAAGGTATAAAAATGTAAAAAAAATTGGAAACATACACAAATCACTCTTGTTATTTAACTAATAAATATTTTGTAAATATATACAATATTAACCTAGTTTGACACAACACCAAAATATTATGTATTTAATATACAAAAATTAATTAATTCACTTCCTGCATACCATTATATTTCTATAGGAAGGAATTATCAATTGACATCTCAGTATTACATAAACTCAAAACCAAAATATGTTTAATACGAGGCGGACTCGCTACTTTTCTCTTATATTTCTTAACCATAGGTTACATAGTTGAAAGATCAGAAGTAATACAATTATTATGATGCTGTATGAGTGAGAATTTTTTCATTTATCACATAACAGCTACAGTTGATATATGATATATATAATAATAATAGTCTCCCGTTTTATACCGCACGCGGCTTTGGGAGTATAGCAGGGTAGTCTGCTATATCTAGGGCCTACGGTATACAAGGAAGGTAACATGGCCAGTGCTACGCTTCAACCGCCTATTATTACCCCTGGTTTTACCCAAGGTACTCATTTTTTTCAGGCTGAGTCGACCTGGGGCCTATAGACATTTTAAAAATGCCTAGTTGTTCTTGCCGGCGGTAGGATTCGAACTCACGACCACCGGCATGCGAGGCAAGCACACTACCGCTTGCGCTACGCGGGCCCATATATGATATATAAAAGAAAATAAATTATTTCTTGGATTTTGGTGCTTGGAAAAGTGCTAAAAATTATAAAGACGAACATTGTTGACAGATCATGTTTTTATGAAATTTACATTTGGCATCAATAAAATTGTATTTTTTACCAAGCGTAAATGCACTACTTAAGAAATTGAAGTCAATATTAGAAAAATATTTATATTACGTGTCAAAGTTCCAACTAAATAAAATTGAATGTGATAACTACAAATTTTATTCATAGAACATTTTTTGACTGTTAAAAGAAACCATAAAAGTACTTTTGTGTAAAATAAATAATATAAAATCACTGAAAAATTCAAGAAAAGTTGTAATAAAATTGTTTTATTTCCACGTTCTCCCGCTTTTCTTAATGCTAATACTCTGTTTCGGATTTTCATTATTAAATTATCAAATTTTCCAGTATGGTTTCCCAAATTGTTGGCAATTCGTTAGCTAATTGTTATAAAGTGTGAGGTGGCTATAGGAATCGTCTGGACGTTTTCGCCCAAACGTGTTCGATGCAATTCATGCGCATAGAGCACGGTGGCCACTCCATTTTTGTAATTTCAAGATTATCTAATCTTGACGATGTGTAAATAAGATCTGTGAAAAAACAGCACAAAAAAAAATATATTGGAAATAAAAAATATTATATAAGCACTTATTTAATAAAAACTCACCAGGGCATAATAATATTATATTTGAAACTTAAAAAAAATATCAAAACAAATTTCAGAACCTTTAACTTACATAATAAATACATGTCTTAATTTAGGTATTTTGCCAAATATTTTAAAAGCTGGAACTAATAAACCGCTAATAAAATCTGGCGAAGAAGTTTATTGTCAAGATTATAAATCTATTAACCTAATCTCAAACATAGGAAAAATATTATAGTCGGACAATTTTCAATTAAAGGTGACTAATCTACAAATTGAACTAAACGGTAGCGGCAACCATGTAAAATGTCAGCAGTAAATTCTTACCGGGGTCATTTTTATTGTGTATGCTTCGCCCATGTAAATAACTGAAAAAGTAAGGTAGTCCTATAAAAATTTGCCCTGTAACAATATAAATTGCTGCGATTCACGAGTGTATAGTGAGACAAGTTTATTGAATAGTTTGAAACATCGGTAAACAATATTTTGATGGTCTATATATATTTACGTTCTTCGACCGAATGGAAATGAGAGAAATGATATTTTAGTTTATTCGTTTCAACATTATATGTGTGCATAGGCGTAGTGTGTTCTATTTCTTGGGAATATATTTATTAAATAGACTTTATTATTAACTTTAAAATAGTTTTAAGGTAAGTTAAGTAAATTTAAGGCAAGTTTATTCTTTATCTAGTATTAACCCATTAACGGACGCTCAATATACAAAGAGAAATTTGACAATTAATTTATTAGATTGGATTAAAAACGCATAAATTAAGACTAATTTACAACCAAAAAGAGTTTTTTTTCTTATTTTCAAGGAAAACAGTACAATTTTTAATAAAGGATCATATTGTATCTTAAATGTAAATTAAATTTTAAGGTGAAAATTTTCGAAACATTCGGGGTGTATATGCATTCTACACCTTTTACATAAATATATAGTATTACTTTTGCATATCCTACATTCTTGCACTATCGTCTCTTTTTGTAATGTGGCCAATATTGTCGAATCTGGTTTCATCTGGTAAAGCAAATTTAGATTGATGTTATGTGCTAAGTTTGACACTGATGTAGCGGTTTCTTCACTATTATAAATTATAAATATAAATCTATGTCGGCTCATTCTTTCTCTTATAATGTGCACTTCTTTATCCTCATCCTTTGACTAATGTATATCAACTTGAAGCAGAGTGTGAACGAGATAATATACATATGCTAATTTTTTATTTTTTTTTTAAATATGTTAGTTCATTTGAAAATCGTGACGGTTATTCTGCGATGATGCATAAACATTTGTAAAACATACAATGTTCTCAATTACTTCTTGATCAAAAAGAGTGAAAAAACTGCAATATATGACTTTCCTCTATGGTTGGCTTTTATATTGTCTAAATGTCAATCAGACTCATGTTGAATTACTACTAAGCACGAAGGAGTATCTGTTGTTACAACTTGAGACAAATTTGGATTTACTATTTTTGCCTGGTTTATTTCTTTGGACGTTTTATCTGTGGATTCAGAGGAATATCGTAATCATAATCGTCAGAATTCCCATCATTGTATTTTCATATGTACCTGCAATATCCGATTTTATTGATTCTTCACAAATAATATTATCATCAATGTCTTCTACATCAGACACTTTCTAATCTAATCGCAGCGGCAAATAAACCACATTAAGTGAGTCAGCATTTTCACAATCTGAGTCTTCTTCTAACAAAGCTATTAACTCTTGTAGTAGTTAGTGCCATCAGTATATTATATATCACGCATTCACTGATAATAGTTTAGCTTCCTTCATTTTAATTTATATAAACTTCATAATATATTTTTATATTTATAGGAAACTTTCAAATTAAGTTAAAGAAATATATATATATATATATATATATATATATATATAATATATATATATATATAATATATATATAACGTTTACAGCACACAGCAATTCTATAAACAGAAAATTATGTGTAATGACGAGATCGTATGTTAAAATTTCAGATTGTTTAGTCTTATGAAAAAAATTAGTATTTTCCAAAGTTTTATGGTTTTTGAAGTTCTGTATTAGGTATTCTTTAATAAGAATAAAATTTCACTTTAATTTGTTAGACAACTATAAGATACCTGTCAAAAGACACATGATAATTTAATAATTATATCGGTCTTAGATTTAATTTTTATATAATTGCTTATGTGTTTAAATAAATAATTAAAATTTTTTTGGTACGCCTCTGCAAAATTGATAAGTGGAATATGATTTCGTTGAAAAGTTATCGTTAAGGACTTTGTTAAATGCTATGTTGCCAAGTAATCACCTTCAATTAAAAATTGTTTTTGTATAGAAAAAATAATTAAGATAAGACTTTCAATTAAAAAAAAAAATCAATATACTATCTGAAAGTATGGGTTTTTTATATACTATAGTATAAGTTTTTTTATCGACTACATTCGAAATAGACATTTTTTCATCTTCTTCGGCGTGAAATAATAATGCTCTGTTATTTTTATAAAAAATATATTTACAATTCATTATTACGTATAACATGTCTTTTATATAAGAGAGCAATGACAATAATGTCTTAAACTATGGAATCCTAGATGTTATAAAAATTTTTAAGTATTACAGCTCCTTTTTCTCCGATGACATAACCTGGTGCCATGTTATGAGTCGACGGTGGTATAGGTATCACACTGGTATCAACTACTCTTAATTTTTTTACTCCATAAACCCTGAGTTGACTATCTACTACTGCTTCCCTGTCTGTTTCAGGACCCATTTTGCATGTTGCTACCATATGGTAATAACTGGCTATTACTGTTCTTAGTGCACATTCCCAATATTTGTCCGTATTAAATGTCTCTTTTTCACAACCTTAAATATAAACAAATTAGTAGAAGGTTTTAATAATTAAAATTTTGGTTTTAAACCGCCACCACATTAACATTTATTTTTTTTTTTAATATAAATTATGTTTTATGATAGATTTATAGATTTATATAGATAAATCAATCGAGATATATGTTATTTTTACCAATGCTACTATACTCTGATTGAAAATTACTAAAAATTTGTATGACACAGCTGATAATACACAACCAAGAATACATCAAATAAGCCGATATTGTTGATACTTGCATAATATGTTCAATTATAAAAAATTATCATTAGGAAGCACCTAAGTTTCTAAGAAATGATTAAGATTTCTAATCTATATTTACATTCTCATTACCAAAAAAGAGAAAAAGAAATTCTGGAAACTTGATATGATACTAGAAGAATAGGCGAACATATGTTCATAGGTGGTGCATGGCTTAACCCGTCAACGCCTTGTGTGACCACTTGGTTACGCAAACACGCCATCATTGGCAGCTATGTACGCCATTGCTCCCGCTTGGCGGCGCTAGTGTAGTTGGAGTTCAACACATTTTGACAATTCTTTAGGTTTGTATGGTATTTTTGTTGTAATTATTGCGATTTAATAAATTATGACAGAAAATTACGGATCTTGATATATTTGCGACTTGATAAAAGAATTGACAAGAAATGCGAGAATTACTGGAAAAAAGGAAGACATTATCGAAAAGTAAACTATGTATATCATCGTCTTATGTTTCATTGGTTCATCTCTGACCATAAAAGAAATTTTTTACATTGGTCTGAGTATTATAGTGATGTATTTGTATTTGGATTTGAATTTATACTGTCAGGTAGCGAAAATATGGTAATTTTAGCTAAAGTCGGTTCGCTATATTTACGCGGGTTTCGGATTAAAATGTTATTGTAAGTACCCAGTTTTAATTACCTGCTCTTTGGGGAAATATTAACTGGTCAAATGAAATGAAAAATAATCCATAACTTTTTTTAATTAAATAATAATTGAAAATCTTTTATATAATTGACAGTATAATAAGGAGAATGACTTCATTAATGGAGTCTAATGTGGCTAATATAAACCTAATAATAATTTTATATTACACTTCACACAAAAAATATGGTCTATGTATATTAGTTCCCTGTAGAGAATTTCTAATGAAAATAAAAAAATTTAACTTGCCAACAAAAATGAAAATCAGTCATTATCATCAAAAATTATCATAATCGTCATCACTGTCATCAACATTAATTGTTATTATGATTGGACTTATTTCGTTTATTTTATTTTCACGAGTGCCACCAATCTTCTATTAGTTTCTCGCACTTGAATATACAGTTGCACCACACTTCTGGAGTTACAATTGAAAGTGCCTTTCGCCAAGTTTCCCGAACTGCGTCGTCACTATAACCGTTAGGCCCAATATGGTTGTCATAATATTGTTTTTGCTATTCCCCATATATTATATTCAATGAGATTAAACTGGCAATGATACGGTGGCAGACGTAAAACTTGATGACCGTAACTGGTCATTAACGTGGTTTTTGGTTTTGCGTGGATATTTGACAAGCGTAATAATTCTGATTTTAAATATGTTGTGTAAATGGTATATGTTCCTTTATCAACCATTCTTTAATTTTATCAACAGTCCAACAATTCGTTGGACTTTTGTTTAATACTTCAGAATGGTAAGGTGCATTGTCTAAAATAATTACGCTGGGCTCACTTAAACCTGGGAGAAGTTTTTCATGTAACACATTTTACAAACATTTCTGTGTTCATATTATCGTGATAGTCACTTGATTTTGATTTAGATGAAAATATTAAATCAGCACCTTCTATAAAACCCGATTTCCCTCCTGCATGTAAATTATGTGTCGCTTCCCTTCTCCATCAGTATGTTTGATAGACTTTACGTTATCATCTTGCCATGTTCTCTTGGTTGCACCCCTAGAAAATATCCATGTTTCGTCTAAATATATAAAATTTGCCCTTTCTTCTTTTAATTTAAAATATTTTCTTAGAAAGTTAATTCTTTTATGCACAACAGAGCTTCTTTCACAAAGGGCTTTTCTGTTATCCTCCTTTTGAAATTTGAAACCCAAATTATGTATCACTTGCCATAGACTTGTTCTGCCAATTTCGTCAAATTTTCTATCTTTTAATTCCGAAAGAATTGTATTTAAGGTCACATGTTCCTTGTTGGCTCGCATTCGATAAATGGTATCACGAATTTCAATTTTTTTTTCTTAGTTTGGTTTCACTAATTCCTAGAGCATCAAATACGCGTTGTTGAACAGACATGACCGATTTTAAAGGACCGCCATTTTCTTTTCATTCGTAAAATACTTATGTACACTAGAAATTAGACTATCTACATTTAACATACGTCTAGGTATTTTTAAATATTTCCACCAAACTATATCTCCAAACCAATAATTCTATTTTGTATCAAATAATTCTATTTTCGCGTCGGTTACCTAAATAAATTCAGTCTACCTAGACCTTGTTTCTGAGAATGTTAATCCCCGCCACAGCGCCTACTTGACGACAGACCGGCTTTTCAAAATGCATAAACAAAAAAATATTCAGCAGGGCTAGTGATTTAGCGACTTTCGTAGGGCTAACATCTATATTTCAAAGTTCGGAGAGGATTCTCCACGTTGCAGTTTACGCAGTTGGCCGGGAAGCCGTAATATGTGAATAGTATTATGGTGTTTTCGCTTTCGTTCGCAAATTGTAATATTCAAATTAAGTTCCTACGATAAGTTACACACTCAAATTTTATAAGCTCTATTTCTTGCTCTTTCTTTCTTTTTTCAATTACAGTTTCTTTCTAAACAAGTAATTGTTTTATTTCACTATATCAATTCAACAGGCCAGATAAAAGCAACTTTGAAAGTCCATTTTAGTTTCTCTACTGAGCTGTCGAAGGCTAGCGGACTAATTGGGCTTACAGCAAGAACAAAGCCGCTGAAAGAGACACTGTTGCATATAAGCCTCTCCATGGAAGGGATGTTGTAAACCGGCACCCTCCATGACCATTAATCCAGTTTTTACCTAATTTAATGGGAAGTCGTTTACTGCAACTGGTTATCAATGAGTCATTAGCATAATTTTGTTAATCCGAAACCCGCGTAAATATAGCGAACCGACTATACCTCCCATACATTGAACACAGTTCTGTGCTGCCTTAAAACAAAACGCATTATAAATCATCACTTTTTATCACAATATTTCGAAGAGTGTGTAGTTGGCCGCACATTAAGGCGTGAAGGTCCGGCATCTCTGTGAGATCCAAGGCATTTACCGTGCTTAGAATACTAGACAAATGATTCATGTAAGACAAATATATTTTACTTGTATACGAAAACTTGAACTGTTTAAAGTACTCTGCATTGCTGGTTGCATTGCAACCTCCACAATCAATAGGATGGAGGCAAAAAAGCTTTGCTCCTCCTCTAGGGCGGCTCGGCCGTCGAAAGTTATATCAAGAATTTTCGAATAGATCTGAGGATGATCGAACTGTACGAGAATGGACCAACAGCAAACAGTAACGAACTGATGTACACCACTGGCCACGAATTCTTTAGAATGCTCCCAAAAATTTATCATTTGATTATAATTGTTTTCAGCCTTACCTCAAATGTTACAGTTGTAAAATCTCATTGTATACTATGGCAGCCAAAATCTCACATGTATTACAAACAGTATATCATTTCCTTCAGTATTATCTTGCCTTTCTGCGGGTCTTTTCTTCATAAAAACTTACTTAGCAGAAACTTTGAGAGAGGTAGTTTTGGCCATGCTGATCAAAAGTTCTCAGTGCTACAAGACTCAGAAATCGATTGTTGCTGAGTTACAGAGGTTCAAGATATCGGTTTTTAGTCCATTTAAATCATACATATTTAAAAAATATTCAGGGTGTAAGTAAAAAGGTGCAAACAAACTTCAGGGAGTGATCCTGCATAAAAAACAGTTTTCTATATGTTGTAAAATCTTATTGTATACTATGGCAGTCAAAATCTCACATGTATTACAAACAATATATCATTTTCTTCAGTATTATCTTGCCTTTCTGCGGGTCTTTTATTCATAAAAACTTACTTAGCAGAAACTTTAGAGAGAGGTAGTTTTGGCCATGCTGATCAAAAGTTCTCAGTGCTACAAGACTCATAAATCGATTGTTGCTGAGTTACAGAGGTTCAAGATATCGGTTTTTAGTCCATTTAAATCATACATATTTAAAAAATATTCAGGGTGTAAGTAAATAGGTGCAACAAACTTCAGGGAGTGATCCTGCATAAAAAACCAGTTTTCTATATAAACGTACGTCTACATAGTGTGTCACTACTACGTACAACAAGTGAACAGTGACAAGTGTAGTAGTGTCTGGGGGCTCAAGAGACTGAGACCTAGGAAGCCCTGATGAAGACATCAGAGAGGATGTCGAAAGCTCGGCCTAATGGATATCGACGCTGTTCAACCCAGAAGACTGGTTAGCTTAATATTAATTTTTGTAATATTATTAAATCTAAGCTCTAGGTTTCATTGTACTAACCGTGGAAATCTTTCCGAACATTTTTAGTATTAAAATATTTAAAATCAATAGTGCCCTTTATGTGAAATATTGTTCTGTTCCTTGACTTTTTAATATGTTTTGTTTGTTTACTACTTTTCTTTCAACCTTGTTCATTATTTCTTACTACTAAACAACGGTGCCCTCAAGACACAAAATATGTCACTTATATATCATCTTACGTCGCCCCTTCTTTTTTTTTCTCACCGGCCTATTTCATCCATCGGCATAACGTACTCCACCCATCGTAGTGGTTTATTTTGATAGTTTTCACGATATTTGCATCACCAAAAAGTCTATAGAGTTCAAAATTATATCGCCTCCACACACCTTATTCGAGAATTCCGCTATACATGGTCCTGAATACTTTTCTTATAAAGTTTCTTAGTATTTGTTATGGTAGATATTTTTTTCCTTTTT